GATTTATTGTAGACATGAGGTCTCACCAAGTTGCTCAGGCAGAGCTCGAACCCATGGGCTCAGGCAATCCTCTCACCTCAGCCTCCCAAAGCGCTGGGATTACAGGCTTGAACTACCATGCCCAGCTAGCATGAACATTTAAAGAAATGGATATTGGGCCAGGCTCGGTGGCTCAGTCTGTAATCCCAGCGCTTTGGGAGGCCGAGGTGAGTGAATTGCCTGAGCCCTTGGGTTCGAGACCCACCTGGGCAACTTGGCGAGACCTCATCTCTACAATGAAATAAAAAAAATTATCCGGGTGTGGTAGTGCGCGCCTGTAATTCCGGCTATTCGGAAGGCTGAGGCGGAAAGATTGCCGGAGGCCAGCAGGTCGAGGCTGCGGTGGCCGGGGGTGGCCACTGTATTCCAGTCTGGGCGACAGAGTGAGACTCCAACTCAAAAAAAAAAAAAAAAAAAGAAATGGATATTGAAGGAGCACAGGGCAGCTATCACTCGGAATGGGGAGAGAAAATTTCTCCTAAGTGATGCTAGGCTGAATTGAGTTTCTCCAAATTCACATGTTGAAGTCCTAATACCCCATGCCTCAGAATGTGACTGTATTTGGAGATAGGACCTTGAAAGAGGTAATTAAGTTGAAATTAGTTTATTAGAGTGGGTCCTAACTTAATGTGGCTAGTATCCTTATAAGAAGAGATTAAGACATAGACAGGCACAGAGGAAAAAACAAGAAGAAAACAGTCATCTAAAAGCCAAGGAGAGAGAGGCCTCAGCAGAAACCAACTCTACTGACACTATGATTTTGAACTTCTCGCTCCCAGAGTTGTAAGAAAAATAAATTTCTGTTGTTTAAGTTACATAGTCTGTGGTACTTTGTTATGGCAGTTTTTAGCAAGCCAATACAAGTGGTTTTACCACTTCCCACTCCTTGATCCTTTTGCCCTTGTTTTTGAAGACACAAGTGTTATTTCAACTTTTTCTTCTTGGTTTGGCTCTGAATATGACATGACTCTCAGAATAGGCAACAAATAAGTCACAAGGATTTCATTTCTGTACTGAAGTGTTAGCTGAGTCAAGTTAGAAGCGGAGAGACCCTATACATCAAGTTTATCCTTGAACGGGAACAAAAGATAGGATGCTTATTATATTTGTAGATGACAAGAAACTGGAGAGCACAGTCAACCCAAATCATCTCCATTGGCTGAACAGGAGTTAAACTGAAGTAGAAAAGAATTCAAAGAGACAAATATAAATTCCTGAACTTGGATTCAAAAAAGTCAATTGCATAAGTGCAAGGGGAGGAAGAAATTATGAAACAGCAGTACAAAGTAAAAACAGTATGAGTCAACCAAATGATGAAAATGTCCCTAACTTCAGTGTGCTTACAACCTATCATTTATGAGGTCTTTGTTTCCATGTGCTTCTTGTAAGAAAATGAGCTGCTAGCCGGGCTCGGTGGCTCAGCCTATAATCCCAGCACTTTGGGAGGCTGAGGTGAGAGGATTGCCTGAGCCCACGGGTTCGAGACACGCCTGGGCAACTTGGCGAGCCCTCATCTCTACAATAAATAAAAAAATCAGCCGGGTGTGGTAGCGCGCGCCTGTAGTTCCAGCTACTCGGAAGGCTGAGGAGGAAGGATTGCCAGAGCCCAGCAGGTCGAGGCTGTGGTGGCCGGGAGCGGCCACTGCACTCCAGTCTGGGCGACAGAGTGAGACTCCGACTCAGGAAAAAAAAAAAAAAGAAGGAAAGAAAATGAGCTGCTTTAGGAAGTAGTAAGTTTCCCATTGTTGGAAGTGTCCAAGCAATAATTGGGCAATCACTTCTCAGAGATGTGGCAGAGGGTATATAGAGACCTTGAAGACATAGCCATGGTTGAAGTTAAACTTCCACTAATAACTGTCTGAGAAACTGAAGATCACCTGTTCCTAAAGAATTCTGAATTTTCAGTATTGCTGTCTTTAAAATATTAGTAATTAGGAAAACTGAGGAAAGGAACTGAAGCTAGTCCTGAAAGCCAATGGTACCAATGTTAATTTGCTTTTATCTCCATTTGTTTGTGTCTTCCCTTGAGGGATATCATCTCTCTAAATGGAGATTTGGAAACAGTGGTCTTTGGTTGAGAGTGTCTAGCCTGACAACTGCATTTATTGATTGAATTTGATTTATTCTGAAGTCAGAGTCTTCAATGGTGATATGTTAATCTTGATTTCACCTCTGGCCTTTGTTGCTTTTAAGATAACCAGAAACAGATTGATCTATAAAACATGTGTTTACCTGCGTAGACTAGTGTAATCTTATGCTGGGAAAAGTCCCCATTTTAATAAGCTTTAAACAAAAAATTCTACCTCAGGTGCTAATTAGAATCTAAATTCAGGTGTTAACCTCTTTCACTGAAAGTGCATGTTGAGTAATTGCAGGAAAGGGGCCAATTTCAGGCACAGCAGTAATTACTGAATTAGTAGAAAAGTTCAAGTAGGGCTTCAGATTTCAGATCATTACTGAGCTTTCTGAGGAACAGCTAATCCTGAAGTGATTGGACTTCTCACACCTGTGTGTGTGTGTACGTGTGTGTGTGTGTATGTGTGTGTGTGTGTGCAACTGCGCGCGTGCGCGTGTGGGTGTAAGAAATTCCACCTAAATTTTAAAAAAATGTTGCAAATGACCACAGAATTACTCATATTTCTTGTTATTTAAAAATATAATTTTAATGACCTCTGAATTGACCTTAATGTTTGATTCAAAACTAGGGGAAAAAACCCCCAAAACTCAAAACTCAAAATCTGTTTTATCTGATAAAATGACTTAATTCTTTGCATTTTTTACTTCTTTAATGTTCTAGAATTAGCCTTTAATATGCCAAGGACCATCCATCCTTGATAAACACTCTATATTGGGGGCCTCATTCAAGTTAGTTATTGCCAAAAGTGAAGTAAGCCCTTCAACTACTGAAGTGACCCTTTCTGAAGACACATAAGAGGAAAACAAGTGGGAGTCTACCGTTGTCTTGCTTGTTGGTACATGGTATCCTCCTCAGTCACAATGTTATCCTCTGCCTTCAAACAAAATCGAACACTCCTAAGAAGAAGCAAGAGTCATAAACACAAAACCAACCCAAACATCCAGGGCATGGTCTTCAGGGCACAAAATAGAGGATGCTTCTTTTACTATGGTGACTGTTTCTTCACCTCTCAGCACAATTTCATGTCTTACCTTCGACATATAAAGTGCCAAGTGGTCTCTAGTCTTGTGAAGACCCTCTGGTTTACTCCAAAATAATGAGGGATTATTAGCATCTATTCACCGACTTCAAACATCCAGTGTAGAAATTTGCAGTATTGAAACTGGATATGAGCATTTTTTAAGGAGACTGAATTAGTAGACTTTGAACTTTGAACTTGAGGGCAAAGCAAACACCATCATGGAAGTGCATATTATTTTCAACAGCTTATAGTATTTGACATGAAGTCTGCAACAGGCTTCACGTCCTAATGAAGAGTTCACAGTCAAATAAGTTATAGACATGTGTAAAGTTAAACAGTAATACCAAAGAGACTAGACAGCATAAAACCAGAATTAACCTATTTGTCAATGTGGGACTAGGTAAATAAATTAGGGAACATCCGTATAATGGGATACTTTGTGCCTGTTAAAAACAATTAGGTAGCTCTGTAGGTGTTGGTATATAAAGAACTTCAAGATAAATTTTTAAAATAACTTTATTTATTTATTTATTTGAGTTGGAGTCTCACTGTCTCCTGGGCTGGAGTGCAGTGGCATGCTTATGGCCACCCCAGTGTCGACCTGCTAGGCTCCGGCAATTCTTCCACCTCAGCCTTCCAAGTAGCCAGAACTACAGGTGCACGCTACCATGCTCAGCTAATTTTTTATTTATTTTAGAAACGACATCTTGCCAAGTTGCCCAGGCGGGTCTCAAACCCATGGACTCAGGCAATCTACTCGCCTCAGCCTCCCAAAGTGCTGGGATTACAGCTGAGCCACCAAGCCCGGCTTATTATTATTTTTTAAAATGTATTGTAGAGACAAGGTCTTGCCAAGTTGCCCAGAGTGCTGTCGAACTCCTGGACTCAGGTAATCCTCTTGCCTCAGCCTCCCAAAGTGCTGGAATTATAGGCATGAGCCACCGCACCCGGCTATAACTTCATTTTATTACGGAGATGTGGGGGGTAAAAGTCAAGATTAGGCACATAAGTAGTCTATGGGCAGGTGAAGTTTGGACCTTCAACCGGTCCTCACTTACCCTCGTTTAGGACCAAGTATGCTTTGTATCCTTATGTACCTCCCCACCACTACCTCCCTTCCCCCAGCAGTGTTCTGCGACTGCTGATCCCTTCCTTGTGCTATTGCGATTAATGTTCAGGTTCCACTTATGAGTGAGAACATGTGGTATTTAGTTCTTTTGTTTCTATGATAGATCACTAAGAATGACTGTCTCCATCTCCAAAATAAGAAATATATATATACATACACATATATATTTTCTTCCTGACATTCAAAATCTTTTTATAAGAGGGCAGGATCCAGAGTTAGGTTTTTTTTTTTTTTTTTTTTGTGTTGCAGTCTCGCTCTGTCGCCCAGACTGGAGTGCAGTGGCCGCGCCCGGCCACCACAGCCTCGACCCACTGGGCTCTGGCGATCCTTCCGCCTCAGCCTTCCAGGTAGCTGGAATTATAGGAAAGCGCTACCACGCCCGGCTAATTTTTTGATTTTTATTGTAGAGATGAGGTCTCGCCTGCCTAGGCGGGTCTCGAACCCGCAGGCTCAGGCAATCCACTCACCTCAGCCTCCCAAAGTCGCGGGATTACAGGCTGAGCCACTGAGCCCGGCTCCAGGGTTAGTTTTATTATTATTATAATTTAAAATTGTGGGGTACAATTCAGGGCTAGGTATATAAATATTCACCATGCAGTTACCCTTATCGATGAGGTGTGCAGGGTTAGTTTTTATAGCTGTGCCTGGCCTGCCAATCTCTCCCATGCTCGAACTTCTGGCCCTTGGAGCGGAGTAGGATTTGTTGTGGCTATGTGGGGATTCCCGGGGCCTTGCCCAAATGCCTATACACCTCGCGGCCCTTGTGAGGAGCAGAGAGCAGGACGGTGCCGTGGTCCTTGGTGGAGTCCAGGGCCAGCTGGTCGAAGGCGAGGATCTTGCCTCCTGCCTTGAGGATGCGGCTGCAGCCTGGTTGCTCACACGCAGTGTACATACCTTCAGTTTGGGCACCTCCTGAACCTGCATGTCGTCTGTTATGGTCCCCACGACCACTGCTGCCTTGTTTTCCAAGCCAGGAGGCTTCATCTTCCGGATCATCCGGGACAGGGACATGGGTGGCCGATTGCTGCGACTCATGAGCAAACTCTTCAGCACAACCTGGTTGAAGGTGGAGTTGGTTCTTCTGGCTAGAAACCTGTACAACTTGGCCGGGCACGGTGGCTCAAGTCTGTAATCCCAGCACTTTGGGAGGCCAAGGTGAGAGGATTGCTTGAGTCCAGTGGCTTGAGATCAGCCTGGGCAACTTGGTGAGAACTCGTCTCTACAATAAATCACAAAAACTGGCCGGGCATGGTGGCATGTGTCTGTGGTTCCACCTACTTTGGAAGGCTAAGGCAGAAAGATCGCCTGAGCCCAGCAGGTCAAGGCTGCGGTGGATGTGAGCATGCCCCTGCACTCCAGCCTGGGCAACAGAGCGAGACTCAAAAAAAAAAAAAAAAGTTAAAAAGAAAAACAAACCTGTACAACTTGACCCACAGCCTCAGGTAGATATCCTGTCTCTTGGGCTCTTTGCAGCCAACCTTTTGGTCCTTGTTGTGTTGGATGTCAACTCCCATGATGGCGCCTTCATCTTGGCCAGGTCCGGAAAGGGAGAACGCTCTCTATATTTTTTGAGTTGGAGTCTCACTCTGTCACCCAGGCTGGAGTGCAGTGGCACGCTCACGGCCACCCCAACCTCGACCTGCTGGCTCCAGCGATCCTTTTGCCTCAGCTTTCCAAGAAGCTGGAACTACAGGTGTGTGCCGCCACGCCCAGCAAATTTTGGATTTATTGTAGAGACGTGGTTTCGCCAAGTTGCCCAGGCTGATATCGAACCCCTGAGCTCAGGCAATCCTTTCGCCTTGGTCTCCCAAAGTGCTGAGATTACAGGTGTGAGCCAATGCGTCTAGTCCCCTAGATAAATATTTTAAAGATAAAAATGGTAGGATAATAGATATAGAATTAGCTCACTCCTGCAATTTTCAAAAAGAAGATGGATATCTACAAGTGTATGTGTATGCAGTCATGTGTCGCTTGACGATGAGGATATGTTCTGAGAATTATGTCATTAGGCTATTTCATCACTGTGCAAACATCATAGACTGCACTTAGACAAATCTAGTTGGGCAGCCCACCACACACCTGGAGCCTATTGCACCCAGGCTACAAACCTGTATGGCAAGTTACTATTCTAAATACTGTAGGCAGTTGCAACATGGTGATATTTGTGTATCTAAACATAGAAAACATACAATAAAAATATGATACAGACGATAAATAAATGATACACCTATATAGGGCAATTACCATGAATGGAGACTGCAGGACTTGAAGTTGCTCTGGGTGAGTCAATGAGTGAGTGGTGTGTGAATGGGAAGGCTAGGACATCACTGTATATTACTGTAGACTTTATAAACACTGTACACTTAGACTGCACTAAATTTATGTTTGAAATCTATCTTCAAAAATAAGTTAACTTAAGTTTACTGAAACTTTTTTACTTTTTAAACTTCAATTGTTAGAAACTTTGGAACTCTTTTGTATTAATATTTAGCTGAAAACACAAACACACTGTACAGCTACACAAAAATATTTTCTGTCTTTATGTCCTAATTCTATAAACATATTCTTTTTTTTTTTTTTTTTTTTTTTTTTTTTT